GAACAAGGTGAGGCGGAGCTGGGGTTGGGCGTTGGTTGGCGCTGGCGCTGGCGCCGGCGCTGAAGGCTCGGCGGGAGTGCACATCCTCTGCTAGCGGGCCTAGGAGGACCCTGTTATGCATTGGTTGTCGATACCTACCTACCTACCAGGTAACCTTGGCACGATTGAGACCTTGGCACGATTGAGACGCTTTGTGCGTGCTCTGTCCCTGTGTTGTCCCATCGTGGCCGTTGTTGTGCAGAGCTCACGCGCACGGCGCACGCGGGGACCCCGGCCATGCTGGTGATGTGCCGCCTGGGACAAGCCCTGAAGGCCTGCCCCGTCCTGAGGGCCCGTCCTGAGGCGCCTTAGCTACCACCTATGTACAGTAGGCACCTAGGTAGGTCCCTTACCTTAAAGGTACATGTCCATGTAGCACCGTAGCCCAGCAAGGGATAACAGTATGCCGCACGCCATCATCCAAATAAACCCCTACCTTCCCTCTCACCGAATGCACTGAAGTTCTACGTGGTCGAGAATTGGCGATACATGCATGGTTGTGTTTTGTTGAATTTGAGTGGATATAGTATTGTATCACGGTTCAAAGTGCTCATTTTTAGGACCCCCCCCCCCCCCCCCCCAGACAGAGCAGGTCTGGTCATCAGTATCTGCACCTTGTCGAGAGCCACATCGCAAGCTGGAGCATCGGAGTGAGAACGTTGCGGGCCGAACACAACTGAGCGACGGCGGCGCCTCGAATGGCCCTGCTGGGTGCATCCATTGGGGTGCTATTCAGGACTGTAGCAGCTCACTGTGCTCTTCCTCCACTGTGCCGCCTCATGGTTCTGTGACCAGTTCGAAGAGTACACTCTCCCCAAAAATGCATAAAAACCATGGCCGCCCTCTACCGGCCATGCTCACCAAAAACAGAACCGCGACAGCGCGGCCTCATTGCATGTGCTGCGCCCGCCGTGCGTGAGACCTCTCGTGTCTTGCGTGGCCTGCTCGTCTGCAGCGCCCTGTAGCGCCCTGTCCTACCTTCCTAGGCATCCTGCCCTACACACCACAGTCCACAGACGACAGCCAACAAGCACATTCAGTCCACACAGCACACAGCGCGGAGGCGGACAACGGCAACGCCCAGACAGGAGCTCAGACCCCTTCGTCCCATCTTCTGCGACTGCCAGTCCGACACGAGCCGCTGACACCCCAACCGCTGACAGCCCCATACGACGGCAGCCGGACCGGAGGCGGGCTGGGTGAGTCCGGGCCTTCATGAAACCAGGTGCTTTTCCTGTCAACCTAGGTTCTGTCAAATGAGGTCCTGTCAAATGAGGTCCTGTCAACTAATTCGGTAGGTACAGAAAGCATCGTCTTGTGGCTGGTCCTGCCATGTCTGTATTGGTGCGTTCGGCGTGCACAAAGGAAGCCGACAAAGGAAGCCGACACGGATCGCCGCCATCGTACCATTTGGTCGTCATCAGTAATTGCTTTTCTGGGTGCGGAGTGCTGAGAAGTGACAGGGACGTGTCTTGTTTGCTGTGCACTCGTACCTAGCGCGATACAACTGCAGAAGTGAGTGCCTTGCTAGGTAAGATGGGTAGATAAGGCTGAATGAGACATGTCTGATGCCCTTGGGATGACAAGTGATCATTGACTACGGAAGACATGGTGCGAAAACAGCTCGGAGGGACGACACGATCCAAGACAGCATCGTGCCCTGCCTTGCCTGCCAGCCCTGCCAGGTCGTTTGCCTTGGTGACCTGGCAATGAAGGCAATGGAAGAGCTCCTGCTGTAGGTTTTCTGCCTGGTAGGTTTCTGCCTGGTAGGTTTCTGCCTGGTAGGTTTCTGCCTGGTAGGTTTCTGCCTGGTAGGTTAGGTACGTAGCCCACCACACAGCGGCCCGGCCTTTTACCCGATCCGGCCGGCTCCTTTCGTCGCTTCCTCGCCGCCTCAAGATCACCACTGGACCCCTCGACCTCTGCCCGACATGGCTATTCCCGTTTTTGTACTACCGACTGTCTTCCCACGGTGCTTTCCCACTGCTCACACAATGCTCGGCCTTTCCCTCTTGTGCTCTTGTGGTGAACCATGTCGTCTCCCTCACAACGTCATCCACACAAGCAGACAGCTGACCCCCGCATCGGCCAGAACACCCTTCTCGGAGAAACCACGAAGAACCGGCCGGACAGACTCCAAGACGGCGCCAGAAACCCGCCGACGAAATAGATGGATCCTAGGCCACGCTGATCCAAACGTCGTTCGGTATTCCTGGAACCGACCGCGGGGCCCCGCCTCATTGGTCCTCACTTTCGCAGAAATACTCGGAGAAACGGGCCCTACTGCACAATACCACGTAACCGTCGCCGCTGCCCGTCCGCCGCACGGCGCGGCTCAATCGGGCAATGGGCCATGGGCAATGGGAATGTCCTCTTGAATCAATGAAAATCATCGAGTCCGTCTGTCGCTCACCTCATTCCACTCTGCCGCCTCGCCTCTCCTCTCGCCTCTCCTCTCGCCGCCCCTCTCATCGACCAGCATCGACCAGCATCGACCAGCATCGACCAGCATCGACCAGCATCGACCAGCATCGACCAGCATCGATCATCATGGCCGCAGCCCCGAACGGCGTCGTGCGCCAGAACGGCCATGCGAGGCAGCACCGCGCCTGGTGGAAGGAGAGCGCCGTCTACCAGATCTACCCGGCCAGCTTCCAGGACTCGACCGGCTCCGGCGTCGGGGATCTCCAGGGCATCACCTCGCGGGTCGACTACATGAAGGCCCTCGGCGTCGACATTGTCTGGCTGTCTCCCATCTTTGAGAGCCCGCAGATCGACATGGTACTGTTGCCGCCTCATGCCTCCTCTCTGCCTCTCCTCTCACACCATGCCCATGCCCTCATCTCACACCATGCCCATGCCTCCTCTCACACCATGCCCATGCCTCCTCTCACACCCCCCCTCTGACAAGACACCCAGCGCTAATGACGACCAGGGCTACGACATCAGCGACTACCGCAAGATCGACCCCCCCTACGGCACCATCGAGGACGTCGACGCCCTCAAGGACGCCCTCCACGCGCGCGGCATGAAGCTCGTCCTCGACCTCGTCGTCAACCACACGAGCGACCAGCACGAGTGGTTCAAGCAGTCGCGCTCCTCCAAGGACAGCCCCTACCGCGACTGGTACATCTGGCGGCCCGCCCGCTACGACGCCGACGGCACCCGCCACCCGCCCAACAACTGGGACGCCCACTTCCAGGGCAGCGCCTGGGAGTGGGACGAGCACACGCAGGAGTACTACCTGCACCTCTTCTGCACCGAGCAGCCCGACCTCAACTGGGAGAACCCGGCCGTGCGCGACGCCGTCCACGCCATCATGCGCTTCTGGCTCGACCGCGGCGCCGACGGCTTCCGCCTCGACGTCATCAACTTTATCAGCAAGGACCAGGCCTTCCCCGACTCGGACCGCACCGTCCTCCGCGGCGCCGAGCACTACGCCGCCGGGCCCCGCCTGCACGAGTACCTCGCCGAGCTCGGCGCCATCCTCCGCGAGTACGACGCCTTTAGCGTCGGCGAGATGCCCTGCGTCACCGACACGAACGAGGTCATCAAGAGCGTCAAGGCCGACCGCGGCGAGCTCAGCATGATCTTCCACTTTGAGTTGTAAGTTTCGCGGCACTCGACTGTGTAGGCGAGACAGAAAAGAGAAAAGAGAAAAGAGAAAAGAAGAAGAGAAGAAAAGAAGAAAAGAACCTCGACTGACCAACGCAGTGTCGACCTCGACCACGGCGACAAGGGCAAGTTCTCCCCGCGCGAGTGGCCGCTCGCCGACTTCCGCGCCGTCGCCGACAAGTGGCAGCGCTTCATGTACGCCAACGACGGCTGGAACGCCCTCTACCTCGAGAACCACGACCAGCCGCGCGCCGTCAGCCGCTTCGCCAGCGACGCGCCCGCCCACCGCGCCGACGCCGCCAAGATGATCGCCATGGTGCAGGCGCTGCAGGGCGGCACGCCCTTTATCTATCAGGGGCAGGAGCTCGGCATGCACAATATTCCCAAGGAGTGGGGGATGGAAGAGTACAAGGACGTCGACTGCCTGAACCACTGGAAGTGCGCATCTCTCCCCTCTCCTGAATCCGTGCCCGCCCACCCCGTGCTGACTGACGTGCTCCACCAGCCTCTACAAGGACTCGCCCGATGAGAAGCTCAAGGCCGCCCTCAGGGTCGAGTACCAGAAGAAGTCGCGCGACAACGCCCGCACCCCGATGCAGTGGACCGCCGGCCCCCACGCCGGCTTCACGACCCCCGACGCGACGCCCTGGATGCGCGTGCACCCCAACCACACCGTCATCAACGCCGACGCCCAGGTCCACGACCCGGCCTCCGTCTTTGCCTGCTGGCGTACCGTGCTCGACGCTCGCAAGACGCACAAGGACGTCTTTGTGTACGGCGACTTTGCGCTCGTCGACGACGACCACGACACGGTTTTCGCCTACGCGCGGACCGCCGACGATGGCGCGACGGCCGTCGTCGCCGCCAACTTCTCCGCCGACGAGGTCGTCTGGGACGGCTTCAAGGGCAGGACCGTCGCCGAGGTGCTCGTCACGAACAAGGGGCGGACCGTCGACGCGTTGGCCGGCGGTGCCGTCACGCTGGCGCCGTACGAGGGCGTTGCGGTCCTGCTGGGCTGAGGGTGCTGGGCGCTGCTGCTGCTGCTGCGTCGGGAGCGAAAGGGAAGGGAATGGCGAGGCTAGACTTATGACTGCATGAAAATGGGTACAAGGGATGCATAGACGGAGGGTTCATTCCAAAGACGAATTTCATTCAAAGCTGCGATGCATGGCTGTCGCGTGACTCTGACCACGATGAGAAGTGCACATTGAAAATCAGTTCGTTCGTGCCAGATCACATTATGCGACCCGAGCAGCTTGTTATTGTTTCAGCCATTGCTGGCTCTCATCATGTACTACCGACCCGCCATGGTTTGGTCCGCCCTAGTATACAGGCGAGGAACCTCCTTACGTCAAGACATTGTCATCGCTGTCGTCGTCTGCTTCGCCCACGTCAACCACGACATCCCCAATCTCCTCATGCAGCAGGTCACCGATCGGTACGCTCTCCTCGAGCACACGGTGCGCCTCGTCGGCCCCGACGGCCAAGTCCTCCATGATGAGCCGCGACGCGAGCTCGGGCACGAGCACGGTGGACACAAAGACGGCGCTGCCGCGCGCGGCGACGAGCTCGTCCTCGACGGCGCGGCGGCGCAGCGCCGACGCGAAGCGGCTGATGAGGTGCTCCGACATGACGCGCAGGCCGCGCGGGCCGTAGTACCCCGGCGCCAGGCTGCGCTCCGTCGCGCGCAGCGTGCGCTCGCGGCCGTCCGAGACCCTACCGGCGAGGACGGACCGGTAGTGCGAGGCGTCGCCGTGGACGATGCGCCGCAGGGCCCCATCGTGCGCGGCGAACCGCGACGGCAGCGCCTCCCAGTCGATGTCCGGGTAGCCCTTTGCGAGCCAGGTCGCCCGGGCCGTCTTGGCGTTGTGGAGGCGGCAGAACTTGATCTGCTGGCTGATGCTGAGCGGCCGGCCTTTGGAGAAGGTGCGCAGCAGGTCCTCGTCGACGGCCAAATCACACATGGGGCACTTGGTCGGGGTGGCCCTGGTGGGCCTGGCGTTGCTGTCCTCCTCCTCGTCTTCTTCTTCGTTGGCGTCATCGTCGTCACTCGCCAGGCTCAGGGTGCCCGGTGAAGCTGCTTCGTAAGGACCTCCGAGCAAGTCGTCGAGGCCCATGCCGGGGAGGCTCGCCGGTAACCTGAATGTGCTTCCGGCGACGAAGACCTTGGGTTCTGGGAGGGCTTCTGCCCTTTTCGCCTTTTTCCGTCGACCTGGTATTCGAATGGCGGGCTTGCCTTGCGGAGGCACATAGGGTACGGACAAGTCATTCTGGCGAGGAGCAGGAGCCGACTTGCCGGGGAGTAGTTCGGGCTTCTTATATGTTGGGCGTTTCGGTGACGTATCCCGAGGTAGTGGCGCGCACTTTTTGTAGCCGTTTTTAACCACCGGCTTGTCATCTGGACTTGTGGGTAGCGAGTCGGGTTCCTTGAATCTCGAGCTCCTCCTTTTCGGGATTCTCTCGGCATCTTCACCTGATGGGCTCATGGGTAGCGCATCAGGAGCTCTATACGATGTCTTTCTGCGAGATTCATTCGGTGACGAAGATAGACTCGCTTCCGGCGTCGTTGACTTCGCGCCAAGACCTGTTTGCTTTGTGGTCCCTCGTTCGCCGTATTTCCTCTGACTGGCCTTGACCTTGGTCTGGTGGAAGACATCTTCAAGATGGCGCCCGCCAGTCCCCTGCTCGCGCGGCGAAGACGCCCTCCGCTTGGCGCTCCGTTCAGCGGGAACGTCGGCATCGTCTGACATGTCTGCATGGCCTCGTTTGCGGCCAGCTGCGCTCTTGGACTTGAGATTGGCATCCCTACTGCGCAGCGGTCCCTGTCTAGACCCGTCTCGGCCGCCGCCGGCGGTGGTTCGTCCTCGGTCTCCGTGGAACTTGGTGGCTTTGATGTCGCCCCGCGCCGCCGGGCCATCGTCACTGTCAGAGTCGAATCCACTGTGCTTCCAGTCTTGTGATGCGCCAGCGCTCCTTCCCCGCCTCGCCTCAGCTTGAGGGCTCGCGTCGCGTTTCGGGCTCCTGTCCCCTCCTGCTGACATGGTGTCTGAACTCTCATCACACGAAGAGCTCAGAGGAGCGGCGTAGATGTCTTCCGGCGTCTCGATGGGCTCCGGCTTCCGCCTTGGGGCTCTCTCGACCTTCTTTCCGTTGACCTGGCTCAGGAGGGGCTTGACCCCCCTGGCCGTCAGCCCCGGTGCCCTCCGTTCAAAGTGCATGCCTGGGCTGTTTTTATGGTTCATGACATGATGATGTGTGCGACGAGGATTCAAACAACCAGCGATGCGGCCGTGATGTGACAGAAGACAGTACGGGTGAGGTATCCGGTACCTTGACTAGAGTGGCGATGTCTCGCTAATAGTGTAACCGGGAGGCGTATGCAGACGCTTTCACAGGAAGCAACCAAGTACGAGATGGAACCGAATCGATGTAGCAGTGGCTCGCGGGAGCTTCGATGGCGTTTGATGACATGAGATGAGGTTGGAGACGACGTGGATCGCGTGAAGCGGAGGCTCTTGCCAAGCTTAGTGCGAACCTCATGTGAGACGCGTCGAACTCCACCACAGTAGCAACCCACCGTGCCGATTGTGTTCAACACGGACAGATACACACACTGTGCATTAGCGCAATGACGCCTCTGGTCTCGCCTAGGTAATACCTACTCAGGCACCTAGGGACCCCTGGGCAGGGAGCTTGGGCGACGCCAACCCCTGAAGCCCAGCGGCGCCCTGAAGCCCTGCGGCGCCCTGAAGCCCTGCGGCGCCCTGAAGCCCTGCGGCTCTGCGAATCTACACCAGCCAGCCTGGGAGGCTTGCACCTGCCAAACAACGTCACATCTTTCTGCTACCCACCTTCACCCAAGGTCTACATGCAAACATCATCGCCATCACCTTCCTTTTCTCCCTCGATGGCATAAGTCATTGCAGCCGAAGCACAAACGTCCCTCTGGCCCCCGTACCTCACGCAATGGCGCTCAATCGCAAATACGCCAACCTGCCTGACCTGGTTTGCTCGTTCACAACCTTGGGTACCCTTCACAGGAGCTGACAGGCTTCAGGACTCTGCACCTGACATTTACGAAACACCAGACCTCACCGACGACATTTCGACTGCTCCTGTATGCTTTCGCCTGCGTCATGTGCCGCTATGCCAGTGACTGACCCACACAGACCACGACAGGGCCCTCGCAATCCGATGACGAGTTCGACGACGATGACGACGCCCCGGGCATTTCCCGCTCTCGACTACGCATAGACGATGCAAGGTCCCGTTTCCTGCCATCCAACGTCGACGCTTCGGCAGCCGACTTCTCCGACCGCGTCGACGGCAAGCGCAAGTCCTACAAAACAACGACCCGGCGGCAGCGAATCCTGGAGGATGGCACGACCGAGATTGGGGACCTAAGCGATGAAGATGACGAGGAGCACCTCGACCGGAAGATTGCGAGGCTTCAGCGGGAAATCGCCGAAGCCAAAGAAGAGTTTGGCAGGAAAAAGGCCGCCGCCGCCACACAGCCAGCCATCGCCGCCAGCGACGCGCAGGAGCAGAAGCTGGCCTCCCTGAGCCAGGTCATTGACGAGATCTCCCGGAGCATCGAATCGCATGCCGGCGTCGCGCCCTCGCAAAAGCCGCTGCCGCCGCCGCCCCAGCCGCAGGCAGGCACCGAGGCGCAGCCAGAGGGCCTGCCCGCCACGGGGACCGCTTCCTACACGATCACATACGCGCCGACCTACGAGCAGAGCCACGCGCTGGCCAAGGCGGCCGACTTTGACAGACGCCTCGTCCTCCTCGAGAAGGGCATCGGCATCGGCTCGGCCGCCCTGCCGGAAGCCGACACCAACGGGCTGCCGCGCGCCATCCTGCCGACCCTCGACGCGCTGCAGAGGCAGATTGTCACGCTGTCCCAGGCGTCGACGTCGAACCTCGACGCCATTACGCGGCGCGTCCGCACCCTGACGCAGGAGGCCCACCAGCTCGAAAAGGCACGGCAGGGCGCCAAGGCCGCGCGGGAATCCCTCGGCGGGGGCACCCCTTCCTCCGCCGAAGACGCCGAGGACTCGGAGCAGACGGCCAAGATCAACGCCCTCTACGGCACGCTGCCTACCATTGAGAGCCTGGCGCCTCTGCTACCACCGCTCCTCGACCGGCTGCGGTCGTTGCGCGCCGTGCACGCCGACGCCGCGTCCGCGAGCGAGATTCTCGAGCGCATCGAGAAGCAGCAGGCCGACATGACGGCCGACATGAAGCAGTGGCGGGAGGGTCTGGACAAGGTCGAAGAGGCCGTCCGCGAGGGCGGCGCCACGATGAGCGGGAACATGAAGGTCATCGAGGGGTGGGTGAAGGATCTCGAGGGGCGCGTGGCGAAGCTGCCGTGATGATGTGCTAGCTGTGAAGATACCCTTGCCTGAAGCATCTGCATATGCGTCTTTCTGTGTTCGTCCGTCCAAGTGAATGGGTGCTTTGCGGCCTGATTTTTATGAATAACGAGCCTGTGTTTGTCGGTGAAAATTTATCGAGTAACTACCAAAACGCTCATTGTTGGGATTTTGAGCAGCCCCAGTCGGCCTAAGGGGCGCGTGTCGACTCCATACTCACCCCACTCGGGCATTGATATGGCGTCAATGAGTTTAAATGGGTAACGTGATCCCAGTTAACTATTCCTTAAAACCTAAACCCATTTCCTGTGACAGAATATAGGGGTCTCGTAGTAAACACCCTACGCGTAAAGTCAATCACAACCTCTCCTCTCTGA